TAGAAACAGTGACAGAAACAGCACATAATACGACAAATTTGTGAAAAGTAAGCTAATTTCATCCTCACTTTTACAACATTTTAAAGTGCAAAGAAGCGTAAGATTTTTTTAAAGGCTACATCATACAAGCAAATTATATTCCCTCGTGCTTCAAAAATAATAAACCTAGAAGTTATATTTTATGGACAGTACTGGAAAAGATGCCTACATCTATTGTGTAGCACCAAGAATTGATATGCACATAACTTAAAATCCCAATAAAACCCCAATAAAAGTTCTTTATTTTTGCTTGTTTTTGTCTTAAGAGTTTCTGCCCTTTAACAGCAGACAAGCTCATCCCTTGCCTTAGTAAGTGAGGAAACAGTTTATTTTATTCGCCTGACTGCCATAGGCTCCATCAATTTGGCATTGGAGTAAGAAAGAAGACATAATATTAAAGAGAGAGTGCATACATCTGCAAACACACATGAACAAGATGGGAGACAATGAATAGCAATCATAAAGGACAGAGGCAATGCAAACATAGAGATTTATGGGTCTCTCACACACCTACACACTGGATTATCTTGGTCTGATGCGCTACAAAATTGGAGGAACATGGTTGCTTCTGGGCTGTTCCTGGACCAAAAGCTTCTCTCTGCACAGGGTTTGCCAAGGTGGGGAGCACTGGGGAGGCAGAGATGTCACTGCAACAGTTTGGAATTAGTCCTCTGGTGGTGACAGACACTCAATACCCAAAGGTTTCCTGTGAAGCATAGACCATGTAGAGGAAGCCATCTTCATCCTTCTCTTGCTCATAGATCTCAGAGATTGGGGTGGAAACGCTCACCATGCTGTGCTGGTTCACCAATAGGAAGAAAGCCTGGGTTGGATTCAGCTGTAGCCGGCGCCTGAGGAGGTACAGAAGGCAATTATTGACCTGGAGTTAAAACAGGAGCATAACAGAGCATGCACAGCTAATGCTAGTTAAATAAATGAACAAGAGATGGGGCACCAATACCACAAATGACTAAAAACTAATGGATTTTGATGCTATGTTATTACCTGTCCTATCCTCAGATTAATAACTTCCCTTTTCTATTTTTTTTTTATTTTTTTTTAAAATCCCCATAATGCAGGCTATGCAGCAGGACAATAGTAATGGTGACGTGAGCATCTTAACAAGACATTTCCATGGGAACGGCAGTATACCACAAATGACTAAAAACTAATGGATTTTGATGCTATGTTATTACCTGTCCTATCCTCAGATTAATAACTTCCCTTTTCTATTTTTTTTTTATTTTTTTTTAAAATCCCCATAATGCAGGCTATGCAGCAGGACAATAGTAATGGTGACGTGAGCATCTTAACAAGACATTTCCATGGGAACGGCAGTCCCGACACATCCTGAAGACAGCATGCTCATTTGCATCAGACCTCCCAATCATGCTGCCTTCAGAATGTGTCGGGACTGCCATTCCCAGAGAGGTTGGAAAAAAAGCTGCATTGGTGAGGGTCAGGTTGGGCAAAGTTGCTTTACACTTTTCATTCAACAGTTTACTCCTAGTTTGGATACTGATAGTTTCAAGGACTCATATTTCTATCATACACGATGATAAAGGCATTGCTTTACCTCTATGTGTGTCTCTTCTGCATGCATTAATTATCTTGGAAGGCCTCAAAGTGTCCTTCTGCATGGTTTGCAATTGCAGCAAGAGCTAATCCAAATAAGGACTAAGAGGCTACGAAGCTGTTTAATTCTCAAGAATGTGCAGCTTCAGGGAAGAGACAGAAATTTATTACACTTCTGATGACCTTGGTAACTGCATCTTGATAAGTGCAGTCCAGTAAATTAGTCCAAAATGCAGGTAAGAGCTGGTGCAATTCTGCATCCTCATCTTCCTGAAGAGGCAGAATTGTCACTACAGTCCTTGTAATAGTTCAGCTTTGGGAACCAACTGGGGCTGGCTTGGGAGGGTGATGTCTTCCAAACAATTGCCTATATACCTGTACAGTAGCAGGCAATGGATTATGGAGGTTTCCCATCTGTAAATGGGAATGTGCATTACTTTGCTTACTTCAAACTGTGGCAAGCCAGCCTGTTGCATTTGGGAACACTCTTACTCATTCTAATGCTTGACACTCTAAACTTCTGCCCCCAAATCTTTCCCTGATTTGAGCCAGCTTCCTTTCTTCTGGGTCCATTAGGAGATGGTTAAAAGGCAAGGCACTCTACTTTCATGCCATAGCAACCAAATTCTGAGCACTATTCTACTCAACAAGAAGGATGCTCCATGCTCCTTTGATACCTGCAGCAAATCACAACTGCTTTGAAATATTTCACTTACCGGATTATTTTTACCAATTCACTCATATTAACATGATCAGGAACTAGAAATTTGGTCTTATCCAGTACAGGTAGCTGCTTCTCCCCTTTGTATCTCTCAATAATGACCTAGTGAGGAAGAAATTGGCACTGTCAGGTCCTTTCTTGCCCAGGAAAATTAAGAAGACAATCCTTATTAAGGCAGCAAACATTATTTGCGAGTAAGTAACACTTTTTAGGATCCAGACGACTGGGTCCTTCTTTACTGATTTGTTCTGAATTATTTTCTTCTTCTAAATAATTGGTTTGTAACCTGTGGTCTGAAATGCAGGAAACAAAGGAAAAATGGTTCAAATGGTTCAAATTTGCGAGATCACAAAATCTTGTGGGATTTTGGTATCCCATTCAAAATCTAATTAAATTTCAAGCAAGAGCACAAAAATATTTTTTAAATCTAATTTAAGGGCCCCAAGAAAGCCCTTGGAAGAGATGCAGGTACTGTATTGCTGAGCTGATTTATGTAGCAAGTCTGTAAAAGCTTTCTTTAATAATAATGTAGAGTCTGTAAAAAGAAAAGATAGGGAACCACTGTTCTACATCAGTAGAATATGAGCAATTACAATGGTGTTCAATCATACACTAGAGAAAGATGGTACTACTATGAAAAATTATACAAAAAGAATAATAAATTTAACACATATCATTATACTTTTGCTTTATTATTATTACTATCACTACTTCCTTATTGTGTGGTCACAGAAAGAAAAAACTTCCATTGGTGGCCTAAATAAAACTAAACCCTAGAAATCTGTGTCTAGCAAAAGACATTTAAGGCCAAATTAAAATTATGTAATAAGCAACTGCATCTGTTCTCTTTTCTTACTCAAAAGTATAAGTTCTAGCCACACCCTGATGACATATGATCATCAAACTCACTGTACCTTTGAACACTGATGGCGGAAGAATCGCTACATGTAAGCAGATGCTCACCCAGAGGAGTTCTATATAATCTTAATGGCTATTCAGAGGTCCTAGTTATGTGAACTGCTTGCATGTAGGGGCTCCTCTCCAAACATCTGCACTCCAGTTGTGGATGTCAATCAGCTACATGATATTGGGGGGCAGTGACTGTATTTCATGACAGTAACACATGGAATATGACGCCGAAATAGAAAGGGCTTTCTCACTTTAGAATGACAGATGCAACATGTTCAAGTAACACGGTGGGGAATTAACTTCCCATGGAAAGCCAGCGTATCAGAAGAGCTCGAGCTCACTTTCCCCCTGACATCCTAGTTCTTCATTTCAATTTTGTTTTCCCTTCACTATAGAAAAGCATTCAAATATACGATTGCCTCTTTTTGTTTTGCTATGTCTGTTTATATTCCCGTGCTATACCTTACCAACTAAATTGTTTGCTGATCTTGTTCTTTTCACAACTCTTTCTGTATACTGTTGCAATCCATATACATTCACTGTACTTAACTACCTATAAAAGGAGTATATAGGAGTATATTAGCTCTTGCTGAAGGGGAGTATTGATGTGCCAATTCCTCATCAGGTCACATTCCCTCCAAGGATATACAATGCTTGCAGCTGCAGCCTTTACTTCAAAGGAAAAAGAAACTAAGATCATTTCTTTTGACACTCCCCAGAATCATGCAGAGGAGACAGCTGAGTTGATCATTCATCTGTATTGGGGCTTTTGGTGTGTAGATTACTCTTAATTGCTTGAGTTCTTGTAAGCCTATGCTTGAGCTGTCAGTGATAGCATCTAGCCATCTGTCCTCTGTCAGCTTCTTTTTCAGTTGGCCCTCATTTTTCCAAGCACCAGTGTCTTCTCCAGTGACACTTACCTTCATATTATGTATCCAAAATAACTAAGCTTTAGCTTCGTTATTAATGCTTCCACTGAGAATATGGTTTTACTTCATCTAATATTGAATTATTTATTCTTCATGTCATCCAGGGTATTCACAACAGTTGCCTCAATAGCACATATCAGAGGCATCCATTTGTCTTTATCTTTTCTGATCATCCAGCTTTCACAGCTATATATCAAAACTGGGAAAACCATAGCCTTGACAATATGTGCTGTTGTTAGTGTGATGTCTCTGCATGTTAATGTTTTGTCTAGACATCTTAATGTCCTTCTAAGAAGCAGACCTCTCTTTGGTCCATTAGCTACTGTACAATCACCATTCCTGTGAATTTTTGAGCTTGGGAAAATAGGGCTGCTACTACTTCAACTTCATCTGTCTGCACTGAGCTGGCAGCTTATTAACATAATCTTAGAATTTTGTTTTTGTTTTTATATTGGCAAGCAGACTGGCTTTTGTACATTCCTCTTTCAACTTCAAAAAGAGATTCCTTAAATCTTCCTAATTTCTATCTCTCAGCTGAGGTCATCAGCATATTTGAAGTTGCTGATGTTTCTTCTAGCAACTTTAATTCCAATTTCTATTTCTTCTAAAACAATGCTTTTCATAATATACTCTGCATATAAGTTAAAGGAACAGGGAGACAATATATGACCTTAGCATGTTCCCTGATGAAGCCTGGATTTCAAAACTTTGACCATTATTTTACTAGCATGTGGGATAAAAACAATTGTTTGGTAGTTTGAATATTCTTTAGCCCTGCCCATTTTTCATATTGGAATATAAATTCATCTTTTCTGCTCCCTTGGCCAGTTTTTGTCCACCACAGAAATATGCAAAACTGAGAACAGTTGATTTTTATTGTTTTTTATACTTAAAATGAACTTATTTCCTTCAAGCAAACATTTACAAAACTAAAGAAAATGTGGATGACTTTAAGTTGAAAGTTAAGCATACAAAAAGCAAAACAAAACCCCTTCTATGTCTGCCCCCCAACCATCAAGGCTGGCCGCAGCTCAGCTAGCAGTCACACGGGGTAATTAGGTAATTTTAGTTAATCCTTCACTGAGATTTGCAGGGTGCTTTAGAAGAGGGGTCACGTGCAACCCTGACTGATCTCAAAAAGGCTAAGCATGGCCAGGCCTAGTTCATACTTGGATGAAAGGCCACTAGGAAATCCTAGAGCTATAGGATAGACTGGAGGCTGAAAAACTTCTGGAAAGGAAGCAACAGTAAACCACTCCCTTACTGTCTCCAGGTAAACTACATGAATTTGTGCATTGACTTGAATGTCTCTCCACCTTTAGAGGGGTTAGAAGAATAACAAACTGAACATAGCTAGTTACGTCTAAAGTTGCTGGTGGCTAATTACTACATTGTGGGAAACACCAACATTTCTTTACAGCTGGGTTCAGAGATCAAGCCAATTTAAGCGACTATTACAAAAACACTTTATGGTTTATGGCAGAAATCAGCAGGATTTTCAGACAGTGGATGCCAGCCTCACAGGGGCAAAAATACCCTCTTATTTTAAATTCTTCTTCAGATCTCTTGTGAAAAAACAGATGTGGTTATCTTGGAAGAGTTGGGTCATTCTCCCAACTCTTCTGTCCTGTCCTCCTAGGCCTTGGGCCTTGGGTTAGGGTGGATGGAGACCTCTGTTGGATGTTTCCATATGTTTTGCACTGAGTGGCTGGATCCCATCTTGTCTATCTACTTTGCACTGTGTTTTTATCTCGTTTTTTTTTTCCTGGCTATTTTGTGAGCTGCCCAGAGTCTGTCTGGAGTTGGGCAGCACCTGAATCGAAATGAAATGAATAAATGAATTATCTACGGGTGCATAAACCTTTAAGTTGGCTCTACATGACTAGCAAAAGGGGAATTATCTACAATTATCAAATGTAATCTAATTTTGCTTTATTTCTACAGATAGCAATTTCTAAGCAAAAAGTATACACAGCCCGGCTGTTAATTGAAACATTAATCTACTAAAGCCTTGCAGAATGTCACAGTAGTGACAAAGCTGTTTCAAAAAGACAAAGTTTAGATTACAATGTTTTAAAATCTCTTTCTCCCCTGTGGTCTCCTTGGCTCATTTTAGGCAGCAGAAGCTGTCTGTGATTCACCTAAAATCAACCAGCTACCAACATATAATATATTTAGGCAAAGGTTATGTGGTCATGAGACCTGGCAGGGACACAGGAATTGGCAGGTGGGGAAAAGAAAGTTAATATAGAGTAGGAGAAGATAGCTTTGGAGAGAAAAATGATAGCGCTGAATCGTTCTAGGCATTAAATAAGATTATTTTGAAGCACAGCAGAAGCTTGGATATCACCTCCTTTGGGGCTGCATATTAGCATCCAGAAAATCTTTAAAATGAATTCCTAGTCTTTAGTCTATCTGTCCCTTTATCATCCGCTAGATGCTAGTAAGAAAGCTGGACCAGAATTATACAAAACAGAATTCACCTCTTTTCCCTTCTCCAGGATGGAAGTTTATTTAAATGTCGAAGCTGGCTTTCATTCCTTCATTTCTATTCCTTCTACTGTTACAATAAAAATGGCACAATTTGTTTGAACAATATTTTAAACAGAATAGGAAAAACTTTCCCCTATTTTTCCCCAAGCCATTCACATCTTATTCAGATGTAAACTGGCAGGTTTCTTGGACTCAGTATCAGATGGATGACATCTGACACTTGAAGCAGAACTTAAGACAGCAAACTTG